CAGCAGAGGGCATCCTGGAGTGCCCTCCAATGAGGTGGCCTCTCAGAAGCCACCAACAGTGATGTTGTAAGTGTGTTCCTAACAACCCCAGCACTTTCCCTGGTGGGGAAACGGAAGCTGAACCACCAGGGAGGGAGGCTGGGCTGCCTGCTGGCCTCTGGCTCCTGCCCCAAACCTCAGGAGTGCCCACCTGATGCAGCTCAGGGAAGGGGGTGGGGCTCAGAAGTAGACAGGAGGGTCAAGCCCACAGAGCCTCCAGTTCCAATGCCCCGGGAGCCCCCTCCCTCCTGGCCTTCTCCATGCCCAGGAAGCTGAGTGCCCACTCCCATCTGGGCTCATCGCGGCTGGGCCTACAGCAGGAATGCCCTCATTGCCTTCTCTCCATTTGGCCAACCTCTTCTGTCCTGGGCTGGGCTAGGAGCTGCCTCTTCTGGGAAGCCCCCTGGGTTGCTGGGCCCACTCCCAGCTCTCCCTTAGACTCTGGCTCCCTCTGTGTCCTTCTCTTGCGACACCTATGCCGAAAGCCTCTGTGTTTCAGGCTCAGCTGGGGGCTGGCTTGGCCAGGTGTGGAGAAGTATAGGTGCTGGGGAGGAAAGGCCCCCAAACCCCAGCAAGTGGGGGGCACTGCCATCTGGGGGTCCCTGCCACCCACTTCAGGAGTAGAATGACACATTCTCCCAGCTTGGTCTTCTGGCTGGCAGAGGCCCACCCTGCGCTCAGGGCTGGTGTGAGCTGTGGGAGTGCTTCCCGTCCGGCTGGCTGCCTGTTCACCCATCCTTCTGGGTCTCAAAGCCACCCCGGGAGCCCTGGGACCTGGGAGGTCATACCTCAGCAGAGCAAGGATCCACCCGTTGCTCATTCAACAAACGTGAACCCTATTTTTGTGGCCAGTGCAGCCGCAGGGGGCACAGAAGGGCCAGAGAGGGCTCCCTGGAGGAAAACTGGCCCAAATGGAGACTGGGACTGGTCATGAAAAAGAAGCAGAGGCAGAGCAGGAGGAGCTTGCAGAGGCTGAGGGCGAAGGCAGGGACCTGCAAGGTGTTCAACCCAGTGCATCTGGGACGGGTGGGGTGAGGATGGAGAGGCAGCAGTGCCAGCTGCTGGAGGGAGGGCTTTGTCCTGAGGGCACCGGGCAGCCCCATAGGTCTTAGGGCAGTTTGGGCAGGAAGGAAGCTGCTCCATGGGGGCTATGGAGGCCAGGTAGCCTGGAGGGAGCTTAGCGGAGTCTTAACTGGACACACAGGGAGGACGGGCCATGCCCCTCTGCTCCTCTCCATCCCCTCTAAGGGTGATGGGATCCCCGGCCATGCTGTGAGCTTCGAGGGTGTCTCCACCAGGCCCCACCTGCACTCAGTCTGAGCCTCCAGATTTCCCTTTATTTTTCTTTTTTTGGAAGCCATAGCCTGGCCAGGAGCCAAGGACTTCCTTGCTCGGATAAATATTTAATAGTCAGAAGCACTTTCTAAAATGGAAACGTGGAGCCGGGCCCAGGAGGCAGGGGGTAGGGAGGGGCTGGGGCGGGAGGCGGTGATCCCCCATCCCTGCACCTACCAGAGGCCCACAGAGTTATTTGCAGCCACCGCCCTCCCCTCCGGCTGCCAGTCCCTGCCCTGCCAGCTGTGCTGCGCAGACTTGGACTTGCTGACCCAGTGTGTGCTTGTGAGGGTGGGAGTGGCATCGGGGCCTCCTCTCTGCAGAGCTCTTGGGAGGGACTCCTTCCCGCAGGGGTGGCGGTGGTGGGACGGTAGGCAATTGCACAGGCTGTTCCGGGTAGGAGTCCGGAAAGGGATCTCAAGCCACACCCCTGCCTGGACGCTGCAAAGGGTATAGCCAAGCAGGGGCAGCTGGGGATGCCCGGGACGCGGCAGGGGCGGGACACTTTGGGGAGCCTCACTGGGCTATGTCCGTGTGAGCCCTGCCAGCTGGAGGGGCTGTCAGGTGACGGCGTGTGGGTGGGCAGGAGGCCCCATGACTCAGCCCCACTGGGTGGAGTTAAGGCCCCCTTGTTTAGGGCTCCAGCCCTCGGTCCTCGGCCTGCTCCTGCTGCCTGGCAGGCCTGGCTCCTGAATAAGCCAGTACCGTCGGCTCCTTGGTGACACATGCCCTGAGAATGCGGAGCTTCATGCCTTGGCCTCCTCCTGGCTGATTCACCATCCGCTGCCCTCGGCCCTGCCTGGCCCCCGCCAGCAGCCGAGTTCCCACGGCGACCCCTAGCTGATCCTGGGTCCTAACAGCTCTGAGCCGGGACTAGCTGTCCAGTGCACATCACCGGACATGCCGGATCTCAGGGTCCGTGATGTGGTGGCTCAGCAGATGCCCTGCCTGCCGTCCCTCCAGCTGATCAGACACCTGCCTGACCACTGAGTCCAACCACGTGGTGCCAGGGGTCTGGTAGGTGGGGGTCCCCAGGAACTGAGGCAGGTGAGCAAGGCCCTGCCCAGCACCCGCCTGCTGGTGGCCAAGTGTGCCCCTCTTGGGACTGGGTAGCAACAGGGGCAGGGTGTGAAGCGTGGCTCTCCAGCTCTTACCCTTCCCAGTAAGTGGTCCTGAGCCAGAGCCCAGGGTCTCCAGCTTGACCCCTTCCCTTGCTGTGTGTCTGCACCGTGCCGTGGGCACCCACCGCCAGGGGCTCTGTAGCCGAGGGCTTGGTGCTGACTGCCTGGCGGGGTAGCGAGTCCAGGATCTGAGTTGGGTAGGTGCCCCAGGCAGAGCCAGTGGCACGTGCTGAGAGTCTGGAGAGGGCCTGGGGCAGGGTGTGGTGCGTTCCCATGGCAGTCCGTGTTGGGGAGGGTGCGCCAGGAGGAGATCTCGGTCATGTGTTCCAGGGCTTGGTGGACCACACTCGCCGCACTGCAGCGAGGGTCCGGGAAGGGCTTGCGTGGCCGGCGCTGTGGCCAGCTCTGCAGGGCGCCTCCCTCTGGCTGCTGTGAGGTGGGCCTAGCTGGGGTGGGGGCCCCAGTAAAGGCTCTTGCGGGGGTCAGTGCTGTGTTTGTCATGATGGCCCTGCTCTGTACCAGCGTCCCCTTCCCATCCCACTCCAGCTGGGCTGGGCCTCTAGGTACGGTGCTGACTCAGCCAGCCCTGCCCTGCCTGGCTAGTGTGGGTGTCAGGTGGTAAACATGTAAACAGCGTTCCCAGGTGAGAGCTGTCTGGGAGTGGTCCCGGAGCAGACCTGGCCAGCTTTTCTGTCTTCGTGTAAATAGAGTCGTTTTCTACCTTTGTGACCGTTAGGTTTTTGTGTCACCCTTTTTAGGGCATTGCAATGGGGGGAGGCCAGGAAGGGGCCTGGGAGCAGGTCCCTGCCTTTCGGGACTGAGGAGCCCCTGGGGCCTCTCCCACCCCATTTGCCGGCCAGTGCCCCTGCTGGGACAGAGCGTTCCCCGCCCTTGAAGTCCTCTGGCCTATTTGAGGACCCCTTCTCTCTGTGCCCGCCTCAGGCCACCCTGACACCCCGTGGCAGGGGCAGCCCTCTCAGCCGCACCTTCCCACCTCTTCCCATGCCACTGGGGCCTGGTGTGGGTGCAAGCCATTCCGTCGCTGACCTACCAGGCCGGGTCTGACCCCTCGCTACCCCTGAGGCCTGGGCTGGGCCTCAGCTGTGCGGGCCTGCTCCAGACTGCCTGTTGGAGGCAGGTCCCCACCCAGGCCATGGGCACAGGGCTGGCACCCTGGGATCCCAGTGGGGCTACACATAGCACAGTTGGTTGTGTCCTGCTGAAGCCTCCTGGCCACCCAGAGCAAAGAAGAGTGGGGGCTAAGGGCCCAGGGTGCAGCAGGGTGAGGTGACCAGGAGGTGGACCAGGCAGCTGGAGCTCTGGATAGTGGGGGACTTGGGGGCATGGGGCTCAGATGTTTCTCAGCCACCACCCAGAAATGACTGGGAAGGATGGGAGGCTTGTTTTAAAAAAAAAATGCTAGGCCGGTGCGCAGGCTCATACCTGTAATCCCAGCACTTTGAGAGGCTAAAGCAGAAGGATCTCTTGAGCCCAGGAGTTTGAGACTAGCCTGGGCAACACAGGGAGACCTGGTCTCCACAAAAAATTTAACAATTAGCCAGGCGTGCTGGTGTGTGCCTGCAGCCCCAGCCACTTGGGAGGCCAAGGCGTGAGGATCGTCTGAGCCCATGCGTATGAGATCAGCCTGGACAATATAGTAGGATCCTGTATCTACAAAAAAAATTTAAAATTAGCCAGGTATGGCGGCGTCACCTGGAGACCCAGCCACTTGGGAGGCTGACACGGGAGGATGGTTTGATTCCAGGAGTTTGAGGCTGCAGTGAGCCATGATCGCACCACTGCCCTCTAGCCTGGGTGAGAGAGAGAGACCCTGTTTCAAAAAATGCTGGTTCCTGAGCCCCACCACACCCTGCTTACCAGATACCCTGGTGCTTCGAGGGGTGGGGGCTGCTGTGAGTTTGGGCTGCGAGGGCTGAAAGGAGGCCAGGGTTGGCTGCCCTGGGGGCTTAGGCAGGTGGCAGATGACCAGGCCCCAAGGTCACTGGCCCCAGCCCCCTGTGGGCTCAGTCCTGCCCTTAGGCTATGCCTCTCCTCCCTTCTGGGCCAGCCTCTATTCTGGCACCCATAGGGAAACTGAGACACAGGGCTTGTGCAGAGCCTGCCTGGGAGGGACCTGCTTCAGGCCTACGTCTGTCCACAGAGCAGGACCTGGCACGCACTAAGGCACTCACCAGACTGGGCTGGCTGTGTGACTCAGAGCGGTCTGTTCCTCTGCAGTCAGCTGCTCAGGCTGGGGGGGCACTCAGGGTGGGGTCCCCAGCTCCAAGAAGCTGAGTGAGTGTTGAGGGCTGGCCTGGCTCCTGGCCCATCAGGGGACCCCGCCTACTCCCTCTGGTGGGACGTGGAGGTCCTGGCAGGGTCCAGAGCCAGCCCTAGGAGCAGGCGGAGGCGGAGGCGAGTCGGGATAATGGGGGGAGGAGCTGTGGAGGGAGGAACCGGGCGTGGCAGGGGGAGGTGGCCAGTTGGGATCTTCACTTCTGGGCCAGTTGGGAGAGCGTCTGTAGCTTCCTTGGTAAGTGGCTCCTGTGCCCACCCCCTGCACTTCGGCCCCCTTCCTGGTCAGCCCCGGGTACCTGCTTGCCTCACTCTTCCGCAGGTCTGTGGGGGCCAGCAGGCCACTAGCAAGAGAGGCTGGAGGAACAGCACTGGGCTGGGCATAGCCCTGACCCACAGCTGATGGATGGGCAGGGGTGTTAGTTCACCATGGCTCCAGCCAGGGCCAGTGGGTTGGGCACGGATGTCAGGGAGAAATTCCCGGAGCCCCTTCTCCTGGCTCCTGGCCCCTGGGGTGTTGGCGGAGCCCAGGCCATACAAAGTGTGTGGCAGGACACCGAGCTGTGGGCCCTGGGCAGGTAGGGGACAGTGGCTCTTGTTTGCAAGGAGCCTCGGTGTGGGGGGAGGTGAATGCGAAGCGCACCTGCACTCAGGGCAGCCGCAGGTCTGCAAGTCCCCCAGGTGGGCGTGGGCCCTGGGGAAGGGTCCTCAGATGACCCTGTGCTTGTTTGGTACACAGGGGCCCTGGGTGTCTGTGGAGGGTGGTTGCTTCCAGAGGCCAGGTTTACTCTCCTGGGGGTGCCCGAGGTGGGCTGTGGGGGCCTGGGGCGATAGGCAGCCCCATCACAGGGTCACACTGCCCTGGACGTCTGTGGGGCCGGCCTTTCAGCCCAGGGAAACTCGCTCCGGCTAGCCAGCCTGGGATGGATGGGAGCGTGGGGCTGCTCCTTTTGGCTGCCAAATCCCTTGGAGAGGTGGCTGGTGTGCTCCCCTGTGCCTCAGTTTCTCCAGGAGCAGAAGGAGATGAACTGGGCCCACCTGCTGCCCTCCCATCCCCATCAACGGCCTCCCGCCCTCAGGCTTACCAGGCTTTTCCAGGAGATCTGACAAGCTCCTTCCTTTTTCCCATGCACTGCCCGCACTAGCATTTATTATGCACCTACGGTGTGCCAGGCTCTGAGTGCTTGGTGAGCAAAGTGTTCTGGGGACCAGGGACCAGGCAGTGTCCAGAAGCCATGGCAGGGTGGCCAAGCTTAGTCTGTGAATTTGCCCAGCAGAGAAGACAGCCTGGGAAAGCCCAGAGAGAGAGAGCCCGTGGCCCAGGCAGGCACAGTGAGGGCTGGAGAGGCTGTGGATGTTGGCTAGGGCTAGAGCAGGCACAGAGAGGCTTCCAGGACAGTCTGACCCATGGACGGCACCAGGGAGCTACGGAAGGTTCTTTCGGGAGAGGGTGATGTGAATAGCCTCACGGGTACAGCTGGGCTGCAGTGGGGAATGGTTACTGGGTGGGCGAGGAGCCCAGCTCCTAGGTCTAGGGGACTGAGGCTGGCTCCTCCACCCTCCTGCAGCCTTGGAGGCAGACACAGAGGCAGGAGCAGGAGCCAGAGCTGGCTCTGCCGGCCTCATCCCGAGAGAGTTATCTCGAGAAGCATGGGGAGGGGTGGGGGATGTTGCTCAGGAAAGTCTGAAGGTCTCATGACAGTCAGCCCGCTTGGCACTTTCTTCATGAAGTTCCACCACTGGGTGAGGCCCAAGTGCAGCCGGCTGTGTGCTCCTGTGTCTGGGTGGGCACAGGGCTCCCGCCTCCATGGCCTCACTCGGGGCGTTCAGAGGGAGGAGCCCAAGGCAGACACACAAGTGCACACACGCCCTAGCACCTGAACACGTACATCCCGTGAGCACACACGTGTGCACACTCATCTGCAAACCTGGAGTGGGCCGTTCCTCCCACCCAGGATGGACTTTTCTGGCCACTGGAGAGCCAGTCTCCTTCCTGCCAGCCCCCAGGGCCCTGGTGACTTGCAAATGCACCCAACCATGCCCTCCCACCTGGAGGCAGGAGATGGGGCCCTGGGGCTCCCAGTTTAGATGCAAACTTGGATTTTGTTTAAGCAAAATCTACTTCCTCCCCGCATGGACCCGTTCTGGACCCTCCAACAACTCTCATTTAGCTGGTGGCTGGTGGGAGTCCTCAGTTCGGACCCGGCTGTGGAGCAGGGCTGTTGGTGAGCCTCTGCTGCACTCCCCAGCCTGTGTTCCTTGTCCCCTCCCGCTCCGCCCGCCCCCC